TCCATATTTTTGTTACTCCATTCGATAATATCCTTGTCATTATGGAAGGTAGTCTGTTATCGAGATTTTTGTTATTCCAATGGATGGTAGCCTAGTAATTATGGGAGGTAGTCTATTTTCGAGATTTTTGTTACTCCAATGGATGGTAACCTTGTCATTATGGAAGGTAGTTTGTTCTCCAGATTTTTGTTACTCTAATGGATTGTAGCCTTGTCATTATGGAAGGTAGTTTGTTGTCGATATTTTTGTTACTCCATTGGATGGTAGCCTTGTCATTATGGAAGGTAGTATGTTGTCAATATCTTTGTTACTCCAATGGATGGTAGCCTTGTCATTATGGAAGGTAGACTGTTATCGAGATTTTTGTTACTCCAATGGATGGTAGCATTGTCATTATGGAAGGTAGTCTCTTGTTGATACTTTTGTTACTCCAATGGATGGTAGCCTTATCATTATGGAAGGTAGTTTGTTGTCCCGATTTTTGTTACTCAAATTGATGGTGGCCTTGTTATTATGGAAGGTTGCTTGTCGTTGTGATTTCTGTTACTCCAATAGATGGTAGCCTTGTCCTGATGGAAGGTAGTTTATTGCTCAGATTTTTGTTACTCCAGTGGATGGTAGACTTGTCATTATCTAAGGTAGTCTATTGTCGAGATTTTTGTTACTCCATTGGATTGTAGCCTTGTCATTATGGAAGGTAGTATGTTGTCGAGATTTTTGTTACTCCATTGGATAGTAGCCTTGTCATTATGGACGGCTGTCTATTGTCGACATTTTTGTTATTACAATGGATGGCAGCCTTGTCATTATGGAAGGTAGTCTTTTGTCAAGATTTTTGTTACTCCAATGAATGGTAGCCTTGTCATTATGGAAGGTAGTATGTTATTGATATCATTGTTACTCCAATGGATGGTATCCTTGTAATTAGGGAAAGTAGTATGTTGTCGATATCTTTGTTACTCCAGTAGATGGTTGCGTTGTCACTATGGAAGGTAGTTTGTTGTCTAGATTTTTGTTACTCCAATGGATAGTAGCCTTGTCATTATAGAAGGTAGTTTGTTTTTGAGATTTTTGTTACTCCAATGGATGGTAGCCTTGTCATTAAGAAAGGTAGTATGTTGTCGATATCTTTGTTACTCCAATGGATGGTAGCCTAGTCATTATGGAAGGTAGTCTATTGTCGAGATTTTTGTTACTCCAATGGAAGGTAGCCATGTCATTATTGAAGGTAGTCTATTGTCAAGATTTTTGTTACTCCAATGGATGGTAGCCTTGTCATTATGGAAGGTAGTCTGTCATTGTGATTTTTGTTACTCCAATGGATGGTAGCCTTGTCATTATGGGAGGTAGTTTGTTGTTCTGATTTTTGTTACTACAATGTATGTTAGCCTTGTCATTATGGAAGGTAGTATGTTGTCCATATTTTTGATACTCCATTGGATAATATCCTTGTCATTATGGAAGGTAGTCTGTTGTCGAGATTTTTGTTATTCCAATGGATGGTAGCCTGGTAATTATGGGAGGTAGTCTATTTTCGAGATTTTTGTTCCTCCAATGGATGGTAGCCTTGTCATTATGGAAGGTAGTCTGTTGTCGAGATTTTTGTTACTCCAATGGATGGTAGCCTTGTCATTGTGGAAGGTGGTCTGTTGTCGAGATTTTTGTTACTCCATTGGATGGTAGCCTTGTCATTATGGAAGGTAGTATGTTGTCGAGATTTTTGTTACTCCAACGGATAGTAGCCTTGTCATTTAGGAAGGTAGTCTGTTGTCGAGATTTATGTTACTATAATGGATGGTAGCCTTATCATTATGGAAGGTAGTCTGTTGTCGAGATTTTTGTTACTACATTGGATTGTAGCCTTGTCATTATGGAAGGTAGTCTGTTGTCGATATCTTTGTTATTCCAATGGATGGCAGCCTTGTCATTATGGAAGGTAGTCTATTTTCGAGATTTTTGTTACTCCAATGGATGGCAGCCTTGTCATTATGAAAGGTAGTCTTTTGTCGTGATTTTTGTTACTCCAATGAATGGTAGCCTTGTCATTATGGAAGGTAGTATGTTGTCGAGATTTTTGTTACTCCAATGGATGGTAGCCTTGTCATTATTGAAGGTAGTCTGTTGTCGAGATTTTTCTTACTCCAATGCATGGTAGCATTGTCATTATGGAAGGTAGTCTGTTGTCGAGATTTTTGTTATTCCAATGGATAGCAGCCTTGTCATTATGGAACATAGTCTTTTGTCGTGATTCTTGTTAGTCCAATGAATGGTAGCCTTGTCATTATGGAAGGTAGTATGTTGTCGATATCTTTGTTACTAAATTCGATGGTAGCCTTGTAATTATAGAAGGTAGTATGTTGTCGATATCTTTGGTACTCCAATGGATGGTAGCCTTGTCACTATGGAAGGTAGTCTGTTGTCGAGATTTTTGTTACTCCAATGGATGGTAGCCTTGTCATTATAGAAGGTAGTCTATTTTCGAGATTTTTGTTATTCCAATGGATGGTAGCCTTGTCATTATGAAAGGTAGTTTGTTGTTGATATCTTTGTTACTCCAACGGATGGTAGCCTAGTCATTATGGAAGGTAGTCTATTGTCGAGATTTTTGCTACTCCAATGGATGGTAGCCTTGTCATTATTGAAGGTAGTCTGTTGTCGGGATTTTTGTTACTCCAATGGATGGTAGGCTTGTCATTATGGAAGGTAGTCTTTCGTTGTGACTTTTGTTACTCCATGGATGGTAGCGTTGTCATTATGGAAGGTAGTATGTTGTTCATATTTTTGTTACTACAATGTATGTTAGCCTTGTCATTATGGAAGGTAGTTTGTTGTCCATATTTTTGTTACTCCATTGGATAGTAGCCTTGTCATTATGGAAGGTAGTCTGTTGTCGAGATTTTTGTTATTCCAATGGATGCTAGCCTAGTAGTCATGGGAGGTAGTCTATTTTCGAGATATTTGTTACTCCAATGGATGGTAGCCTTGTCATTATGGAAGGTAGTCTGTTGTCGAGATTTTTGTTACTCCAATGCATGGTAGCCTTGTCATTATGGAAGATAGTCTCTTGTTGATATTTTTGTTACTCGAATGGATGGTAGCCTTGTCATTATGGAAGGTAGTCTGTTGTCGATATTTTTGTTACTCCAACGGATAGTAGCCTTGTCATTATGGAAGGTAGTCTGTTGTCGAGATTTATGTTACTACAATGGATGGTAGCCTTATAATTATGGAAGGTAGTTTGTTGTCGAGATTTTTATTACTACATTGGTTTGTAGCCTTGTATTTATGGAAGGTAGTCTGTTGTCGATAGCTTTGTTACTCCAATGGATGGTAGCCTAGTCATTATGGAAGGTAGTCAATTATGGATATTTTTGTTACTCCAATGGATGACAGCCTTGTCATTATGGAAGGTAGTCTTTTGTCGTGATTTTTGTTACTCCAATGAATGGTAGCCTTGTCATTATGGAAGGTAGTATGTTGTAGATATCTTTTTAGTCCATTGGATGGTAGCCTTATCATTATGGAAGGTAGTATGTTGTCGATATCTTTGTTACTCCAATGGATGGTGGTCTTTTCTTTATAGAAGGTAGTCTGTTGTCGAGATTTTTTTTACTCCAATGGATGGTAGCCTTGTCATTATGGAAGATAGTCTCTTGTTGATATTTTTGTTACTCCAATGGATGGTATCCTTGTCAATATGGAAGGTAGTTTGTTTTCGATATTTTAGTTACTCCAATGGATAATAGCCTTGTCATTATGGAAGGTAGTCTGTTGTCGAGATTTATGTTACAACAATGGATGGTAGCCTTATCATTATGGAAGGTAGTTAGTTGTCGAGATTTTTGTTACTACATTGGATTGTAGCTTTTTCATTATGGAAGGTAGTTTGTTTTCGATATCTTTGTTACTCCAATGGATGGAAGCCTAGTCATTATGGTAGGTATGCTATTGTCGAGATTTTTGTTACTCCAATGGATGGCAGCCTTGTCATTATGGAAGGTAGTCTTTTGTCGTGATTTTTGTTACTCCAATGAATGGTAGCCTTGTCATTATGTAAGGTAGTATGTTGTCGATATCTTTGTTACTCCAATGGATGGTAGCCTTATCATTATGGGAGGTAGTATGTTGTCGATATCTTTGTTACTCCAATGGATAGTAGCCTTGTCATTATAGAAGGTAGTCTGTTTTCGAGATTTTTGTTATTCAAATGGATGATAGCCTTGTCATTATGAAAGGTAGTCTGTTGTCGATATCTTTGTTACTCCAATCACTACAAGAAAATTGGCAGATTGCGACAGGTATTTTTGTAGATTACGATGGTTAAAACCGTCGCAATTTGCTTTCCACGACGGTTGCTTTACCGTTGCAGAAGTGTGTGTCCCCAACCTATTTCGCGACGGTTACAAAAACTGTCGTTCAAGTTTACGACGGGTTGATACCGTCGTGAGTATCTTTTGAGTTTCTTTTAATTATTGATGGCGACGGTTCGATACTGTCGTGAATATCTTTTGAAATTGATTAAATTGTTTATGGCGATGGTTCGATACCGTCATTACTTTTGTTGATTACGACGGTTCGGTACTGTCGCCATGACTTTTGTTTATGTCTTGATTTTTTTTTATTTTTCTATTATATATATTTTTTATTTAAATTATTATCTATGTAAAAAATTTTAAATATAGTTTTTTTTTGTGTTATTTTTTTCTTTAAATTATTTCTTCTTTAATATATTTATTTATAGTATTATTTTTTGTTTTATTTTCTATCACTTTGTAATATAGTAAAAATAATTTCAATAAAAAATATTTAACATCAAATAAGCATTATAATATCCAAAAAAATGTGTGTTCCATAATCATGTAAAATGCGAGTTCCATAATCATGTCAAGTAGTACAAAAAACCCAAAATATATCAATTCCTAATCTTATAATAATAAGTATCATTATTCCAAAAATACATGAGAAAGTTCACAATCTAATTATCTCGATCATAGCAAAGTCTAATTTGTCCCCCCTGAAGTTCCATTATCTCCAATACGATAGCTAGACTCAGATGAACGTCTACCATCAGCGGGTGATTCCAATCCCTAAAAAAAGGTATTAAAATAATAATCTTTAAAATAATACTCATAAAATTTAACTTTAAATGCGTCAAATTAATATACCTGTCTTCCATTGGAATAGAGTTAGCAGTACCTCATGTAAAGGAAGGTTCAACCCAAGTTCAGACGAAGTTGATCGCAAATTGGCAAATCGTCGTAAATCCCTTTCGACTATACATGGAAGGATATATCCATCTATTTCATGAACCAACAATCAGCATTTCAAACAACTTCCAAATTTTCATCCAAGAGGTAGCATATACCAATTCTTGACTAAGACTAATGACATGACTCGGAGCACAAATTCTTGAGTTACAAGAATAAGCATTTGAAATTAGATAAAGTACCTGTTCTCTCCGAAGGCCATTCGAAGTATACAACGCATATATGATGGAGCTTAGTACGTTGAAATGGATACTGAGCATGAGCCCTACAGAAATTGGAAAATAAATATATCAACTTTACTTGAATGGAGAAAAGAGCCAAAAGAAAATAAAAATTATAAAGATACTTACAATAATAGGAATGAATGCAATCCAGAAATATGCATGCCAACCTGAAACAATAAAAATAAATCTTAGTTTCGATTGGACAATGACATAATTGTTAATTCAACGAGACTGTGGTATAACCAAGATTAAACTACACATCAAACTGGTAGTTCTTGATTCAACTAGTTGAACTGAACGGGTTTCAATGCAGTTTTTAAAGCATTGTTACAGGTAATAATAACCATTATACTTAAGGTAGAAAATATGGTTAGCATGCAGCAGAACTACTGAGAAACAGAACAAAAGTGCCAAGTCTTGTAGCGTACCATGGATATTAAGCAACAAAAATATGACCACAAAGATCCAAAGATACCAACTGTAAACATCAACATAAAATTATAAATTAGTGACAAGAAAGAATCAATAACTTTACACTATAAGTCTACAAAGAAAACCAGGTCGATTAACTACCGATGAAGATTGTGATAAATATAGAAGCTTGGCAGAAACAAATACCTTATACCAACAACTTTCTTGAAGTCTTCTTCAAGTGCACGATTCATGTACTTATGAAAATTAAACGTTCGATTGCCCCTACAATAAGTCTAAAGTAGAGAAACAAAATTAATAATATGGTTCGAGCATAGATAATAGAAGCAAATGCAGCACACTATAATCTTACCATAATGAAACCTCGCCTTAATGTTACATAATCCAACTTTGTCACAGATCCATAAAATCGCTTGAAAAATGATCTCTGAAATAAAAAACCAAAAATCAGAACTAATCATAAACATAATGTCAATAACAACATGATAAAGCCAGTAAAATATGATTAACTTCATACAATTAACCTACCACCCATCCTGTTATAGCAGAATTTTTGCCAGAACCAAAAACATGATACTGTATAAATTCATGCTCATGAACATGAGTCACCTCCTCCGCCCGCTCCGAAGCTGCACTAGACCAGTAGTATCCATATAAAAAAGATTCATTATGACAGAAAAGTATTAAGATTACATTATAACTGATCAAGTTTGTTAGCTTACCATGTTGTGATTCATTGTCTTCATCTACACCAATAGAGTGTTCCCAGTGCTTCCATTTACAAATCTATAATTGACAACAATTCTTATTAATAGAGAAGAGTTGTAAACAAAAAACAGATTATGATTAAAAAAATCATATGATTAGATACTCACGATTAATCCTCCAAAAACAATAGTCAAAACAGATATGGCCACATGACAAATAGCTAGGACAAAAATAAAGATATGCAGGCGATGCAGTCCTTCCAATGATAACAGAGGAACCTTTCCCTGAAAATAATTTAATGATAATACAAAATATGATTAAAGTGGATAATAGGATAAGTCATCAAATTAAAATTGTTTAAATAACATTTAAGAGAATAAACATGATATATGACTGTGAGTGGATTTTACACTGACTTGCACCCTTATGTAATAGTCATTAAAACCTTGAACAAAATGAAAAAGGCAATAACATATCATACCTTGGCAGCACAGTAGCCATGTTGTCCCTCTTGTGATGGATGATTACCATTATCACTAAGAAGGCGTCTAGCAGTGCCAAAAACATCATTGGAAGAGAAAAAAGTCTGAAAATGTACGATTGGTTTTGGTTTTGATTTTACAACTGATTGTTCATATTCTCTTTCTTCAAGTTTACAAGGAAGCATATGATGCATCATTTTTTTCTGGAACACAGATTTCTACAATCACATTTTGTGCTTGAGCCAGAAATATAGAAATAAAACCCAACAGCATCAACTCTGCATAGTAATAATATAAATAATAAAAATCTAAAAGAAACCATAAAACTAAACATATCTCAATTTTGAAAATCATTAGTTTAATAACAAGTAGAAGAAGAAGAAAAAAGGAAAACCTTCTTTGATTTTTTGTAAGGCTTGAAAGAGTGATTCTTGATTTTTCGTCTTAAGAAACTTGCCAAGATGATGAAGACCACGTACAAGAGCAAATGAAACGGCGACAAGGATAGTGCAAACAACAGCAACAACCCATGTAGAAGGGTAATGAAACATGCATTAAATCTAAGTCATTTATTTATGGAATATGATTCCTAACAATGGTTGTTGTTGTAACATACTCAGGTGTAGGAAGAGCTATCAACAAATGAAGAAAGAATATGTAGCTTTGAGAAAGAAACTTGAAAATTATTAGGAGAGGAAAGGTCAGAACAGCGCCATAAGCACTCTATCTAAGTCTAATCCTCCTAAAAGCTATAAGTACAACCTACCGAGAACCAAAACAAACAACCACATTCACAAGAACCCTCCATATAATCCATTAATTCAACTGGAAGACTAAAAAGCAACACCCCACTTTCTTCCAGATCACTCTACGTCAAACAATATTACAGCAACAACATCACAACATGTCTCAAAAACTGCATCGCTACCAATATCATTGTGGCATTTACCAACAACTTCAACACCTGCTACTTAACTACAATTGAAACTCAAGTAACTTATTAACTATTGATTATATATCTATATCCAATGGCAACCATAAATACGAAGAACACACATTGTGTGGATTGCAATGTAACAAATAGCAATGAACTAGGGTTTTAAAAAGGTCTGCCACCTGCCACTGCAATTTCAATTGTGACAGCAAGGTTTTTGATATATGGACTGCAGTGTGCCTCAATTCATGACTATAACCGCAATGAAAAACCAAACTCAATAAATAAATAAATAAAAATTTGAAAAGTGAGGAAAAGATGATTACCGTGATAATCAACCAACAGGATTAAGAGCCATCATCATGTTGTTTCCACCAGGAAGATAAGTAACATTAGGCGATTTCGCAAGCGTTCCAGCAACTTCCCTGGAAGCTTCAATCCTCCTAAGCTCAACCAACCCCATCCCAGCCGCAGCAGTAGCCTCGGAAATCAATATAGTAGTGTCACTCTCTCCTTCAGCTCGAATACCAAAAATAAGTGAATGCAACAGACATAATACCAATCATTATATCAGTTAACAACCCTACAACACATAAAATCGGTTCAGGAATACCATAAAAAATAGTCCACTCATTCAGAAAATTAAAAAAGGCCAATGCATAGCAAAACTGATTCAGTCAATCACATAGATTCAAGTCAATTTAAATATCCACTTCACAAACCTAATCCCTCACATAACAATTTCTAACAACTTTAAGCTAACAGTTATCCATTTCAATTGATATTCCTAACAGTCAGGCCCTAATAATATTGACGATTTTAACTCTTTTTCACACTAACAATTAGCTAACTCAAATTACAATCAGCAACTAACTCTCAGTTTCATTCAAATCTAAAGCCATCCCATCCTAATAGCCAACTATACACAACCTCTCTACAATATTCTACACAGCTTCGTCAACCTTCATCATTAATGGCATCATCGCGACTTCAAGCTTGAAGCATTCCCTCTATTTCAACACCAATCACAACAACAAACTTCAATAATTGAATTGTACCGAATCAATAGAAAATACGTGTGAATCGGAAATAATAGAAGAATGAGGAATTAAGAATGCATACCTGAATCACGATTGAAGCGTTGGCGGAGTGACTCCGACGTGTAAGTATTATTTCTTCTCTCATCATTTTTTTTGCATATGTGACATTTTCGTTTTGCTTTGAATCACAGTTGAGGCATGAAAAAGAAATTGAGCGGAATTTTTCAGAGCTTCGAATCAAAAACGATGAAACTATGGTTGAGACGATGGAACTGAATTGGAATCGAAGCCACGATGAGTTAAGAAGTGTGAGACGGAGGTAAACAGTACTGAATCTAAATAGAAGAAGGTTGAATCGATTTAAGGTGGAGACAGGCGAATATTGAGAATTTGATATAGAGGAGATAAGGTCGTTGTGTTCTCCGCCGATTTGGTTTTGAACGATGACAGGGAGTTTCGCGGTGTCGGGACGAGAGAGGACTCAGAGAGTTAGGTTAACCATTTGAAGATCTTTGGTGCCGGATATTGATGAGAAAGTATGGGGGCGGGTTTTAATATCGAAGATGTAGGGTTTTTGAACCCATGGGATGAGGAAATGGGTTCCCTCGCCGATTGATTCGTCGAGGATGCCGCGGAAACAGAACTTGTTCAAGGAATTCCAATATACTGTTAAAGAAACATTCTAATCGATGTTTTATGAGCTTTTTAACTTTTTTACTGCGACGGGTGTTTTACCGTCGTGCCCATGAGAATTTTTAAAGGTTTTGGGTGCGACGGTTGTTTTACCGTCGTGAAATGAATTTTAGGACGGATAATTTTACCGTCGTGAAAGGTTTAAGGGTGCGACGGGTGCTTTACCGTCGTGATATGCCTTTTAGGACGGTTAATTTTACCGTCGTGACTAGTTGTTGGTGAAAAATCAATGTTAAAAGTGTTAAATGGGGGCCGACGGTTGTTTTACCGTCGTAATAATAATATTATAATGGTTAAATATACCGTCGCAAAATAAATATTAGGGACGGTTGGTGTCAACTGTCGTAAACACTGTCTCTATATGTCAATTACGACAGTTATCACATAACTGTCGCAATTTTTGTGTCGTTAAACACTAATTTTCTTGTAGTGAATGGATGGTAGCCTAGTCATTATGGAAGGTAGTCTATTATCGATATTTTTGTTACTCCAATGGATGGTAGCCATGTCATTATTGAACGTAGTCTGTTGTCGAGATTTTTGTTACTCCAATGGATGGTAGCCTTGTCATTATGGAAGGTAGTCTGTCATTGTGATTTTTGTTACTCCAATGGATGGTAGCCTTGTCATTATGGAAGGTAGTTTGTTGTTCATATTTTAGTTACTACAATGTATGTTAGCCTTTTCATTATGGAAGGTAGTCTGTTGTCCATATTTTTGTTACTCCATTGGATAGTAGCCTTGTCATTATGGAAGGTAGTCTGTTGTCGAGATTTTTGTTACTCCAATGGATAGTAGCCTTGTCATTAATGAAGATAGTCTGTTGTCGAGATTTATGTTACTACGTTAGATTGTAGCCTTGTCATTATGGAAGGTAGTCTATTATCGATATCTTTGTTACTCCAATGCATGGTAGCCTAGTCATTATGGAAGGTAGTCTATAGTCGAGATTTTTGTTACTCCAATGGATGGCAGCCTTGTCATTATGGAAGGTAGTCTTTTGTCGTGATTTTTGTTACTCCAATGCATGCTAGCCTTGTCATTATGGAAGGTAGTATGTTGTCGATATCTTTGTTACTCCAATGGATGGTAGCCTTATCATTATGGAAGGTAGTCTGTTGTCGAGATTTTTGTTACTCCAATGGATAGTAGCCTGGTCATTATGGAAGGTAGTTTGTTGTCAAGATTTATGTTACTACAATGGATGGTAGCCTTATAATTATGGAAGGTAGTTGGTTGTCTAGATTTTTGTTACTACATTGGATTATAGCCTTGTCATTATGGAAGGTAGTTTGTTGTCGATATCTTTGTTACTCCAATGGATGGTAGCATAGTCATTATGGAAGGTAGTTTATTGTCGAGATTTATGTTACTACAATGGATCGTAGCCTTATAATTATGGAAGGTAGTCTTTTGTCTTGATTTTTGTTACTCTAATTAATGGTAGCCTTTTCATTATGGAAGGTACTATGTTGTCGATATCTTTGTTACTCTAATGGATGGTAGCTTTATCATTATGGAAGGTAGTATGTTGTTGATATCTTTGTTACTCTATTGGATGGTGGTCCTGTCATTATGGAAGGTAGTCTGTTGTCGAGACTTTTGTTACTCCAATGGATGGTAGCCTTGTCATTATGGAAGATAGTCTCTTGTTGATATTTTTGTTACTCCAATGGATGGTAGCCTTGTCAATATGGAAGGTAATCTATTTTCGAGATT